GTGGTATTGTATTGTTGTTTTTGAGTCATGGTGCTGTTTTCCTAGCAAACAGTCATAGTACTTTGAGTTCTTCAGATTGTGGTATTGTATTGTTGTTTTTGAGTCATGGGGCTGTTTTCCCAGCAAACAGTCATATCACTCTGAGTTCTTCACACTGTAATGTTATATTGTTGTTATTTGAGTCACGAAGTTTTATTTCTGGAACAGAAACACGTTGTAGTTCATTTTCGTTTTATTAATTTATTTTCAAAACAGGAGAGACGTTATTGCTTGTTATTCTGCTATACATCATTATGCAAATTTCGTGATTGATTATTTAAAGTTTGGATTGGGATTCCTTTGGTTCTCTGTAGTAATTTTGTTTGAAGTTAAATTAAATATTTTTATTTACTTTCCTGATTTACAAAATTATTCTAATTTTTCTCTAACATATTGAGACTAGTTCCGTAAAAAAAAATATTTGAAGTTTGGAAGCTAAGCATCGCTGACGTTAAAAAATATGACTCATTACTATTTGTTCTCATAATTAAATTGTTTTTATAGAATAACTAATGCGCTTTTGGTTTTAAGAAGTAATTTGACGTAATTGCTTTAGCAATGTAAACAAGTATATATTCTCAGACATTACATAGCGATAAGCCTAAACCAACTGATCTTCATATACATCTCTATGATAAATCTTTAACATCTTAGCACTTTAAACAAATATCTCAGAGATATGCTTCAAATAGAGCAAGATACACTGTCTCATGAAGTAATTCAAACATAAACCTCAACAACATAGATATCTCCGTTATACCTTAAGAGTAAGTTATTAGTTTATCTTGAGGGTAAGTTTCAATGATAAACCTTTAAGTGAATGATTTTTGAAGTCATTCCGAAGCTGCCGAACCGATTTGATAAAACATAAACCGGTTGGCAGTTAAATACTCATTATTTGTGTTTAACTTTATACTACCCGTGCTTAACTACTCATTATCTACACCTACCTATTCACACTGCATAACAACAAGAGCTATTAACTTTCACACACTGTGTATAACAACAAGAGCTATCACTTTCACACACTGTATAACAGCAAGAGCTATCAACTTTCACACTGCGTATAACAATGAGAGTTATCAGCTTTCACAAACTGCGTATAACAGCGAGAGCTATCAAGTTTCACAAACTGTATATAA